GGTTGTAGATAACTTGAACCTTAACTTAACTAAAATGAATCAACTGAGTGTGTTACCGTGATGGCCTCTTCTCGGCGGAGTCCGGGAAGCGGACACGGTGTTGGAGTAATGCTTGCGCAGGTTGTCCTCTAGTTTCTCGCTCGTGCTTTGCCTCCTCTTCTCGCTCTCTTTTGCGAATAAGTTAGCCACCATACTTTGCTAGTCGCTTGCTGCAGCTCCATATATTTACCTTACCTTACCTATAAGCTTAAATAGTCTTGATCGCGAGGGTGCGAGATTGCTGAGTCCCTATGGCTCACAGATTACTATTATATCAGATGCAGGGCCTGATGATTCCGCTCCAGGAGACGCGCTTGAGCTCAAGTGGGAGTTCGACAAGGACTCTCAACGTTACTATGTTTCCTTTCCTTATGATCAGTAGTGGTGCCCAGTTGGGGGTGATCGGGACCGTGTCACATGTTGGGTTATCTTTTATTTTGGCGCCGTAGTCGGGCCATGAGTGTTTGGATGATGTAATGTTATTTATGTACTTGATTGACGTGGCGAGTGTAAGCCAACTATGTTATCTCCCCTTTATTAATTATATTACATGGGATGTTGTGAAGATTGCCTAACTTGCGACATATGCCTTCAATGCGATTATGTCTCTAAGTCGTGCCTCGACACGTGGGAGCTATAGTCGCATCGAGGGTGTTACAATGGTGGTCCTCTACAGCAATGTAAATGGAGCATCTGTATGGATTATCCTCGTACTACTAGTGCATTGCAAGTTCCAAGTCTCTGCTCCCCTACTCCACCATCCAAGGTGCTTACTCTAACTTGGCAGTGTGATATCTGGTTGCATGTTGCATATGGTGTCTAGCTTGTATTGCTTCTAATTAGTGTAAACTACACCTACTTAGCTTACACATGATACGTGTGAATATGACACGCTTTCCTGTTTTTGGTACATACTATATCTGTCTGTCAGACCATGTTCTTACATGAAACTACACTTCTTGTGTATCCCGCATCAGTCACTTATGATGGGACGCCTTTAAGTTGGCAGTGTGATATTGGTTTGAGTCCTGAATATGATTTCTACCATGTAGTGCTTCTAGTTTGATGAACGCCACCTATGATGAGACAGTTTTAACTCGGCAGAGTGATATTGGTTGCACCTTCCATATGGTCTCAAGCTTGTAGTGCTTCTAATTTGTTGAAGTGCCTTCTGCTTAGTTACCACATCATAGGTGTGTGAATATGTCAATCCGTCTAGTTTTTTGTACATATTCCATCCTCGTATCATGACTTTGCCTTTCATCAGAGTAGTGTTCGTCAGTATCATGCATGAATGAGTTCTGAAGAGCGAATTTTATTCCTTTTTCTTGTCGGATTGACCTCACAATGGAAAATCAATAAAGCGGAAGGAAATTGGTAAGGCATTGGATGATGGTGGTCCTTCCGAGCAACTGAAACGGAGGGTCTCTATAGATTCTAATCCGCCATCCTCCAAACAAGATTCACAAGACAAAGCAAGGCTAGACAGTCAACGTAGCTGTGTAGATGATGAGCACATCTCCCCAACTCCACCATCATAGGTGTTTTCTCTAACTTGGCACTATTATATGTGGTTGCATGTTGCGTATGATGTCTAGCTTGTATTGCTTCTAACTTTGTTGAATTACATCTGCTTACTTTACACATAATGCCTATGAATATGACACATGTTCCTGTTTCTAGAACATACTATATCTGATCACACCATGTTCTTACATCAGACTACTGTTCTTGCATATCCCGCATCAGTCACTTATGATAAGGCACATGTAAGTCGCCACTGTGATATTGGTTGCGTCTTGCATATGATTTCTAGCATGCTGCTTCTAATTTGTTGAAACGCATGACAGTTTGAACTTGGCAGAGTGATATTGGTTGCATCTTTCATATGGTGTCCAGCTTGTAGTGCTTCTAATTTGTTGAAATGCCTTCTGCTTGGTTACCAGATCATAGGTGTGAATATGTCATGCCGTCCTGTTTTTCGTACATATTCCATCCTCGTATTATGTGTTTGCCTTTCATCCGAGTAGTGTTTGTCAGTATCATGCATGAATGAGTTCTGAAGAGCGAATTTTATTCCTTTTTCTTATTGATTTGACTTCACAATGCAAAATCAAAACAACTGAAGGAAATTAGTAAGGCGGAGGATGATGGTGGTCCTTCGAAGCAACTCAAACAGAGGGTCTCTACAGATTCTACTCCGCCATCCTCCCAACAAGATTTGCAGGACAACACAAGGCTGGACAGTCAACATAGCTGTGTAGATGATGAGCACATCTCCCCTACTCTACCATCATAGGTGCTTGCTCTAACTTGGAACTGTTATATGTGGTTGCGTGTTCCATATGATGTCTAGTTTGTATTGCTTCTATTTTTGTTGAATTACATCTGCGTAGCTTACAACTTATACTTGCAATGATCACTTACACATAAGACACATTTAACTTGGGAGCGTGATGTAGGTTGCATCTTGCATTGTCTTCTAGCTTGTACTGCTTAAAATTTCTTGAAATGGCACTTACGACGAGACACTTTTTACCTGATAGTGATATTGGTTGCATGCTCATATGGTGCCTAGCTTTCATTTCTTCTAATTTTGTTGAAATGCCTCCTGCTTACTGTTTTCATACATATTCCATCCTCCTATCGTACGTGTGAACATGCAATGTTCTGTTTTTTGTATATATTCCATCCTCCTATCATGCGCTTGCCTTATATCAAAGTAGTGTTCGTCTGTATCATGTAGCAACCGGTTATGCAGAGCTAATTTTATTCATCTTCTTGTGGTTTTGACTTCATAAGGCAATATCAGAAAAGAGGAAGGAAACGAGTAAGTTAGGGGAAGTTGGTGATCCTCTGGACCGACGCAAACAGAGACTCTCTAGATTTGCCACTACTACTGCTAATGCAGTTGAAGTCCCAAGTCTACATAATGAGTTCATCCCCCGTACTCCACCATCGCAGGTGCTTGCTCTAAGTCGACAGTGTGATAATTGGTTTCATGTTGCATATGTTGGCTAGCCTGTATTTCTTCTATTTTGATTAAATTGCACATGCTAAGTTTATACATGATACATGTGCATATGACATGCCTTTATGTGTCTAGAATACACTACATCTATCTATCATACCATGTTCATACATCAAAGTACTGCTATTGTGTATTCCGCATCAGTCACTCATGATTGGATGCATTTAACATGGCAGTTTGATAGTGTTTGCATCTTGCATTGATTTCTATGTTGTACTACTCTTAATTTTTTGAAATGCCACTATGACAAGACACTTTTAACTTGGCAGAGTGATACTGGTTGCATCTTTCATATGGTGTCTAGCTTGCATTACTTCTATTTTCTTGAAAATCTTTCTGCTTAGTTTACACATCTTAGCTGTGAATATGTCATGCCGTCCTATTTTTCTTACATATTCCATCCTCATATGATTTTCTTACATCAAAGTATTGCTTGTCTGTATCATGCATCAATGAGTTCTAAAGAGCGATGTTATTCTTTTGTGTTGTGGGTACGACTTGACATGGCAAAGTAAAAAAAGAGCAAGGAAAAGAATATAGTAGGGAATGGTGTTACTCGTTGGGTGAAACAAAAAAGGATCTGCCCTCTAGATTCTGCTGGTACTTATAGTGCAGTAGAAGGTCCAAGTCCACCGGCTAAATCTACAAACACAGTATCACCTGCTCCACCACCTGCAGCATCCGCTTCAACTGTAGCGGCATCTCAATGAGTTACTCGTTCTTTTGCTCCGGAACTGGCCAGTTCCCAAGCTGCCTTCACACCTAACACTACTTCCGAAGCACTGCTGACACAACAGGACTTGGCAAGATCAAATGAACCTCATGAGCATCAACACCAAGATGGTACCTGACCAAGTCAAGTTGCAGTTGCATGCTCCTTTATATGTAATCTCATAGTTTGATGTGCACTAACACTTTTCATATTCGTTGTTGAACTAACACCACGGTGCAAGCGGAAACAGACATATGGGATAATGCTTGATAGATTAACAAAATCTAAAGGAGGAAGAATGGAGATCCGTTTTGAGGCAGGTTTAAAAAGGCCACGTGATGCTACAGAGTCAGCCAAGTTAGTATCAAAGGCAGTCGTTACCGTTAGGTGTCATGCACTTATCCTCCCAACGTGGCACTACACCACAACACTTAATTGGGGGCAATTAACTGCCGGGAGAAGTATGTGAATAAGGGCAAATGATCAGCCGGGAAACTTGTTACTGCCGGTAGAAGCACTTCAGGGCAGAAAAACTGCCAGTAGGACTTGGCGAATAAGGGCATAGAAACTGCCGGCAATGGTGTCCACGTTGAAGGGCGCATTATCTGCCGGGACAAGTAAACATGGCCCATTTACTGCCGGGACAAGTAACCATGGCCCATGACGCGAGACCGAAATAAATTGGGCCAAAGCGCGCGCTACCGAGCAAAAGCCCGCCAGAGATGAAAATTTACGCACCGAACGAAGATTGGCGCAAGACTCGGCCCAAATCTCCCGAACTCTCCTCCAAATCGCCCCCAAATCTAGTCCGATGTGTGCCCTCGTCGCCGCCGCCCCCAAACGCGATGTGCCCTTGCCGCCGCCGCCGCCGCCGCCCCCGCCCCCAACCACCGCACCCAGCCTCCTCCATCTGACTATGTTCTCACCCCCAAGCAGCGGATCGTCCGTCCCCTCTCACCCATGTCGCCGCCGCCTCCTCACATGCGTCACCGCATCCCTTATCTTCTCGCCGGCGGCGCCTCTTTCTTTCGCCCCACATCGCCTCTCGGTGGAGTTAAAGGTGGCTTTTTGGTGAAGAGGAGGTGTGGCGGCGGCAAGGAGCAGCGAAAGGAGCTGTGCAGCCGGATGATTCTGAAGCTGCTGGATCTGAAGCGGGACGATGTCGCCGTGTAGCTGGAGCGGTAGGAGCGTGGGCACGCGGCGGCCTTCTCCTGCTTGATGGCGACAGCGACGAACACGAGGGCTCCCCATCGCCCTCGACCTGTAAGGAGGAGCGCCTACCCCCAGGTCGGGCCTGAGATGTGCAGCAGCAGCAGCAGGGGGCGAGGAGGCAGGCGTCGTGGTGGTGGGCTCGTCTTTGAGGCACTCGAGGTCGTGCGCGGCATCATGGACGCCCGGCAGCTGCGGGTCCCCATTCAGGCTGCGGCATCTCCTCCATGCGCGCCGCCATGGTCCTCTGCTGCGTCAACAGCGAATTGTGGAGATGTCTGTGTCTGCAGGTAAACCTCTTGCGCCTGACCATGAGCACTAGCGAGCTGCTGGGCTGAACATGCTGGGGACATGTTGTCCGTGAACATATAGTTGACCGTGAGGACAGTAACTTCAGGAGCTGCTAATAATTCAGCTACTCCCCTGCCCCTGATATTTCTCTCGTTGTTGTCTGTACATGCTCGGAATAACTTGACTCCTTCAGCTACTGTTAATTGTTGACTTGTTGTTGTTGTTGTTATTTGAACATGCTGGGTGTACTGTAGGAGTACTTGTATTGTTGCTTAAATATTTGCTTGGAGTAAATGATGTAGTTCAACTGAAATCAAAATTTCCGAAATAATGTTTATCAAGGGTTGTATGTACTGAAATCAACATCTCTGAAACAACATTCAGATATGCGGGATTCTAATGCCTGATAATATGGTTGAGATATGCTAGATAATGCTCCATTTCAAATTGGATAATGCTAGATAGTGTGAGATGCCGTCCGACAAACTGGGCACATCCACCTCCGTGCCACTGTTTCCGGGGCAGATTTATTTTTTGAGGGGCGTTTCCTGGGCAAATTGTGTTGGCAGGTGACGAAATAGATCTGGGCGCGTGGCCGGTGGCGGAGGGATCCAGCCCTAGGAAGGCAGGAACAACTTTCATCCTCGACTACTCATCCCCACCTGTGAAATTAGGTAAAATTGCAAACTGGTATGTTCATCCGGGATTAATAGACCTGGGCTTACTTCGAGGTTAGAGTGTGGGAATGATCCATGGGGATGTTCATGACTTCATTATCTTACTAGTATTTGGTTCAGGGATTTGTTCTATGTAGTTGAATGTTAACTTTAAAATTTGAATCGATGAGGAGATTTTCTTTAGCACACTATTTGTCTGTCACATTTGATAAGATCTATTCTTGAAAGCTCTCCATTTCGAATATACTCACAAATCACAACACTTAATTTGTGAGGAGTATAAATCCATTCTTTTATCTTGTAGTGTATTCTAGAACGTTTTCGATGTTAATTTGGATAGTTATACTTTTGTTGTGGCAAGTTTGGTTCTATGCATGAGATGGTTCTCTGGACTATGAAACTAGTATACTATATACAAGTTCACTTTAAAGTTACATTTGTATGATTACTATGTTTATATTTGCGCTTCATTATTAATGTTGATTGGTGGTTCAGAAGTTTGGGCCTATTTTTATATGAGCTGTATCCAAACACCAGATTTTGATTTCCACACTTAGGCACAAGCTTGCCCAGGCTTCAAAAAAATTCTGGCTCCGCCACTTCTAGATGATGCAAGAGTAGTACTAACTTAGGAGTAGTAGATACGCTAGATAATGCCACATTTCAAACTAGATAATGCTCCATTTCAAACTAGATAGTGCTGACAGAGATGAGGATGGACAATGTGAGTCTGCCTTGCCGATATTTTCACTTAGGCCTTCTCGGCATGGCTTCTTGCAGGCCTCCCCTCCAACTCCCCTCCCTCTTTCTCCATGCCATGCAGCACCACCTCTGTGTTCTCACATTGGATGTAGCTACCAAGCCCTAACCAACCCTGATGGCCCATCGTGGTGGCTGCGGAGCTCATTAGAGTGTAGATTGGATAAACCGTGTTTCAACTGCAACTTCTTTGAGTAACAAGAAGTTTTTTTCTAGCTTCTGTACCTGCTCCCAATTTATTTCTACACCTTAATAATCTGCTTCTATGTATGCAGCTGGAAGCGGATAAGTCTGGCAAAAGCAACAATGCGATCACATGCTAGTCTCGAGGGGTAATACTTATGCATCTTTCGCTTGGCTATTGCTATATGATATTATTTATATATTTCTTTTTGATGTGCTTATTTGTTTGTTTGATTTGTCACCTCTGCATATCATTTAGGATGTACTAAGTTTATAGAGGGGTTAACTTTTACCTTAACTTTTTTGCTGTGCAATCCTCCGGTTCTCAATTATGTTTGTGCATTCTTTATTTTATTCTAGGTTCTCAATTAGTGCAATCTGTTCCTTTCGGTGCACTTGGAGAGTACGCTTTAGTGAAGCAAGTAACAATATTACAGATTATTGTTTTGCCATATTTGCCCATGAAAGATTTTTGTATTTGAAGCGCAAATAATTTCTGCTCAATCAAATTATGTACGTGATAATCATTGCTTGTTGTGATGATGAAGTGTTGCACATTTGGAAGAGTTTTGTGCCGACGAGTTAAACTTCAGCACGTCGAAATCTATAATACGTTGATTTAAAATCTGAAACGATAGCACCATTTTTGAGTTTCTGATTTGTTGCAGATTTCTCAAAGATACACAAGCTGATGGTGGTTTGGAAGATGTACAAGTTGCTGGAGGTTTGGAAGATCTACAAGTTGCTGGAGTGACAATGTATATGTAATATACCTTATTTGTTGAACCTTGAGACATCGGCAAGTTTTATACTACCTTTGGTTGGTTGTTTCAGCACACAAGCCATTGTATGCTTATTTTGGTTGTGTGGCACGATTTCTTTAGCTTAAACATATGTACTTTGCCTTCTGAGGCACAATGTCATTAGAAACGTATATTTTTTATCTGTTTTATGTTATTGAATGAGGCCTTACATGTAATCTGATTGAGCTGTATGTATATGTTTTGTGATCTGTCATGTCTGTTCGAATATAATGATTGGATATTAAATGAGGGATATCTTGCCCAGAACAATTTATATTGCTTCCGAGAAAGCACGTCATGGCATATTACCTGCCAGGTAAACGTGCTTGTGCAGGCAGCGGAACTGCCAGCAAACTGTAGTGCATATGCTAGGATGAATCTGCCGGGAGAACATAAACTGCCGGCAGATATAATGGTCGGGGCAGAAGAACTGCCGGGGATTGTTTATCTGCCGGCACAAGTAATCCCCGGCAGCCATTGTTGTGGCAGTTCTATCTGCCGGGAGAATCTTCGTCCCGGCAGTCTATTTGCCCTCTTAAGTGCGTTCTCCCGGCATATTATATGTCGGTGCATTAGTGTTGTGGTGTAGTGGTGGATCCAGTACAAGAATGAGAAGGACAATGCCCAAACACCTTCCTTGACCATTTATCCGTAAGTAATGTTATTCATCGCAATTTGTAATATTGTCTTGCTGTGTCCCATACTTTCTAGCTTCCTCCTAATAGACTCACATTCTTTTTTCAATAGATGAGGTTCAAGTTGGATCCGAAAGATGGTGCAACTAAACAAGGATGCACTCATGTTTTTCAGTCTGCTCTGCGATAGTATTGGTACCACCTTAGAAAAGCTCACTTTGAAGGCAAGGCTAACAATGAAATCGCCCAAACATCTCCAGTGGAATATATTACAGATGAAGACTGGATAGCCCTTGTTAAACACTAGTCTGATCCAAAGTATCGGGTAGGGTATATGTATTTCATCATATCACATATTGTACTTGTATTTATGTATGTGCCTTACAAGTGTATCTTCTTCTAGGCTAACTGTTTCAAGAACAAGACCAACCGTTCTAAAGTGAAATTCCAACAGACAATAGGATCTCGTAACTATATTGCACACTGCGAGGCTCTTGTAAATAGCTGCTAGTTCCTTCTTTTTTCTATGCCATATTATCGTATCTATATTGACTTGTTCCAAATACAGAGGAAAGCCCGTGCGGTCCAAAAAGAACCTGAACCAAATGTAGTGGAAATCTTCAAGGATTGCCACACCAGCAAGATGAAGGGCATGAGCACACCAGTTCAAGCAGCTGTTGTAAGTCCTTACTCTTCCTGCCTTTGAACTGCTTGTTACTGTGACGTGTTCATTTAATTGCTTGGTTTGCAGCCAATGTCAGTTACTATGTTCACTTTTATACACAGTTGTATTAATGTATCATTTCCTCTTACATGGTTTAAAAGAGATGAAGGATATTCTTTTGGTCTTGATCTATAATCTAGTTGTGATGTTCACGTGTGCCCACAAAATGATACAATAGCTTGTTTGTTTTATATCTGTTTTTCCATGATATGAATGATTTCATACTATGTTCATCCTACTTTAAACCATGTCTCTTTATCCTTACATGTCAACGAATGTGAGGAAATAGACAATACAATAGGCATGCTACATGGACATATGTTCCGAAGTGATTTTATTATGTAGTTGGCACTACAATACATGCTAATGTATTACAGTAGTTCACCAAAATAAGTTATGTATAAACATGAAACCTACTTTGTTTGTTTTTGTCTCATTAGTAACTTATCTGGTACACTAATCTACAAGTTTAAACTTTCAGCAAGCTCTGGAACAAATGATTCAATAGACACAACCACCTGAAGGTGATGAGGCTACCGCAAGCACAATGTCACGTCTTGCTACAGTGCGTCAGTATCTCTTCAGTAACAGTGCAAAAAGCACTTGCCTGTGTAATTCTGGGTTGGTTGTTAAGGTAACCTCGTCCAAATCACCTACTGAACAAAATCTTCCAGCTAGACAGAGTGATATATCTGTGCTCCAGACACAAGTCCAATCTCTAATGGACGTCGTTTCAGAAATAAGAATAGTGGTCGACAAATGTCGTCAAGATATGAATGGTTTTGAAACCATAATGTCAGACATGTGCTTCATTGTTCAAGAGCAATGGCGGGGAAAAGGGGAAGATCATGTTGCTCCATCAGATTCTACAACCTGAAACATTAGCACTCAGGTCAAATGATTTGTGCTTCTATACATATGATGGTGCTTTTTATCTGCAAGGACTGTAAACTTTATGCCAACAGGCCTTTTGTTGTATGGTTGGAATTTATTTTGTTGTGATACAACATTTATGGTGTTGCCAAAGGCTACAGAAATTACGACGCTATTTTTGTATAGTGTAGGTTTATCTTAGTAATGTATTCAGCCGAAAGCTTCGTAGGATCCCAACGTGCCAACATTCGTCGGGCCCATTCCAATTGGGCCAAAAGCGATTATGGGCCGTAATTTGCATGTAGCCCACTAAAAATATCTAGGCCTAAATCAGCATAAGCTTTCATATTTTTTGATAGGCATGTGCCCACAGTGAGCCTTTAATAAGCCTAAACATAATTTGGGCCCTTAGTAACAATCGGCCGTTAACATGTGTAAATATCTCGAGCCCATGAAAAACATGGGCCTTTAATAGGCCAAAAGTGAGATTGGGCCCTGATTGTGCCAAATAACCCACTGGCCCATTTACAATGCGGATCGTTCACAGGCCCAAATTCAGACGGGACGTAAATGCGCCGACCTTCTACACGAGCCTTTAATAGGCCGGAAGTTCGGTCGGGCTTGATTAGTGTCAGTTTTATATGGGCCGTTAATAGGCTCGATGTGACGTTGGGCCACATATGGCCCATGGATCTTGTCCGACGTTAACAGGCCAAAAATCACAATAGGTTGAAAGTTGCCCAAATCTACAGTGGGCCTCTAATAGGCCAAATGTCAGGCATGGCCAAATATGACCTAAATACTTCATGGTCGTGTATGGGCCAAAAGTTTCAATGACCTATAAACGGGCCCAAATGAAGAAAGACCTTTAACAGGCCGGAAACACACTAGGCCGTAATTCGGCCCAAATACTTAGCGGACTGTTAATGGGCCAGAAGTGACCATGGGCCTTGATGGTGACAAGTTTAGGACGGGTCGTTGATGGGCCGATTTGACACTATTCGTATGGGCCTTAACTGTGAATGGGTCATCTGCAAGCAGGACTTTAATAGGTTGGCCCGCTAATTTTGACTGGGCCAACCTTTTTAACCTAAATGGGCCATTGTTGGGCCTTGCCACGTGTCGAAGTATCATAGGCGCCTTTGGTCCAATGAGTGGATGACATCTATCCCAACGGTGAGCCGACACGTGGTTCCTCTGGCCATTCAGAATTTTACACGTGGAAAATCCCCATTGGTCCAGGCTGTTAATGGGTTATCGATCTAAACCGGAACACGATAGCTTAACAATGACCCGTTATGGTGGATGCCATGTGTCGGTTACCCTTGACAAAAGCACTTCTATGACGCGTGATTTATCGTCATGGGTGGACACTTCCGTGATGATAATTTTGGTAATGTCATGGAACACTTCTACGACAACACAAGTATGACTATCTTGACTCTGTCATAAAATTGCCATGGATGTACATGCATGACAAAAAACATGACCTACAGGTGACAAACACGTATCATCATGGAAGTGTATTTTTTGTAGTGATATCATCTTATATCAAATGGATGTGAAAAGTGCATTCCTCAATGGTAAGCTTGAGGAAGAAGTATATGTTGCTCCACCCCCTGGTTTTGAAGATCCTAAGCATCCTGACAAAGTCTTCAGACTCAACAAGGCCCTCTATGGCCTCAAGCAGGCCCCTCGGGTGTGTTATGATACACTGAAGGAATTCCTCATGAAGAAAGGCTTCAAACACGGTTCACTTGACCCAACTCTTTTCACCAAAATGTATGATGATGAATTATTCGTGTGCCAAATATATGTTGATGATATTATCTTTGGTTGTACTAACCAACGTTACGGTGACGAATATGCCTATATGATGAGCGAGGAATATCAATTATCTATGATGGGAGAATTTAAATTCTTCTTAGGTCTTCAATTCGTTAACAACGCAATGGCATATTCATATCTCAAGAGAAATACCTCAAGGATGCGCTGAGAAAAATCGGCATGCAAGATTGCAAAGGCATCAAAATCCCTATGCCCATAAATGGCCATCTATGCACCGATGAAAATGGTAAAGACTTTGATCAAAAGGTATACCGCTCCATGATTGGCTCTTTATTGTATATATGTGCATCTAGGCCAGATATTATGCTTAGTGTTTGTATGTGTGCCCGTTTTCAAGCTACACAGAAGGAATCACACCATAAGGGTGTGAAACATATTCTTCGATATCTAGCTCACACTCCAACACATGGATAATGGTATCCCAAGGGCTTGGCTTTTGATCTCATTGGATATTCTGACTCTGACTATGCTAGTGATCGAGTGGATCGCAAGTCAACATCAGGCACATGAAGAACTTCGACAACGAGAGTGCCATCAAGATTGCTCACAACCCAGTTCAGCACTCTAAGACTAAGCACATCCAGATTCGTCATCATATTCTTCATGGTCATGTGTTGAAGGGCGACAACTCCATTGACCATGTGAAGACTGAAGAACAGCTGGCAGATATCTTCACAAAGCCCTTGGATGAGAAGAGATTTAGCAAGTTGTTGTGTGAGCTAAATATCTTAGAATCTTCGAATGTTCTTTGAAAGGACACACATCCTAACACTTATGCAAAATTGATGACTTAGATGTGCAATACGTGAAGTAACATTTTTCTTCAATCAATGAAGACTAACCCTCTAAGTGTGAAGAAATTAATGAAGACTTTGATTCTCAGAGCCCTACGACAATTGTACGCGGTGTCTGGAATCATCATTCTTATACGGTGGGTCATGCCACCAACAAACGTTGAAAATCTTCAAATTTGAGTTTTTCTTCATTTCGCAAATTCTTTAATTTTCAAATTCCTCAACTTTGCAAATCTTCAACTTTTCGACTGATGTTCTTCATTGACTATACACTGGTATGCGTCGGTGCTATACAAATGGTTTTTAACCCCTTTCCGCGACGGCATTTGTAACCGTCGCCAAGTGAGTGTGGGCGATAGGGGGTCCTTCCCACATGACCCACAAATCGTCGGGGATAGGGAGCCAAGATGCATATACAGTACTCCTACTCGTTTGTGCTCGCATTGTCATCGCAATCGGTATTCTGTGGTGCTATGTTTACGATGTGCGGCCCATCACAAATGGTTCACTATTATAGAAAGTGTATGATAAGCAGACAATCACACACATTCGCTTTTCCCAAACCATATGCGATAACTAATTAAGAAGATTAGATAATCCTCACACGAGTGTCAGACAGGATTACGAAACATCAGACTATCGTAACATCATCGTACACGACAACTATAGCACACACTATTCTGTGGTGCAACATTTACGATGCATACTTCCTTAGAAACAGCTCATGCTTGCGAATCGTGTACGATAAGGCAACTATCACAAACATTTAGTTTGCCTGCACCATTTGTGATATTGTCTGACATCACACACACTTTGCAAACGACAACTGTGTGCATGCTTGCACACGTTTCCTCTTTGTGAACCATGTCGGATTATGGTGTATATCGCAAACGTTTGTGTTTTACCAACTGTGTGCGCCGTAACAACCTGGAGAGCGTAATTTCACCATAATTTAATTGCTATTTCAAATTGTACCGGATTTGAACTCGAATTTGAATTTGAATATATGCTATAGCTTTACTCATATCCATCAGGTTTAAACAACCAATGCATTATTTGATTCATAGGTACATATGTTCAAGAATTACATAAGAACCAAATAAAGAATGATGAACCATAGTTGTATACTAGTACTATTAAAGACGGTAAAGAAAGAGGCGAAATACATTTTGGTTGTTGAACAAGGTGAAGCAGACCCCATGCAGAAGGCACGCACGACTCTAGTCCAACCCCTTGTGATGGCCGACCGCCCCTCCTTCACAATCTAGATGAAAACATCTAGATAATCATCGTGGTCTGCTAGAAATACTTTAACCTTTGCATGCCCACCAATCATGTAGTTTGAGAGGTAATCTTGAGTAAACTGCTTTGGGAACCACTTCAAAGGAAAAAGATTCAGACATTGTCATCTAACACAAATCATTATGGGCAGTAAAAAGAAGGTTGCAGAGTTCTTACTTACCATCCCGCAGTTTGTTGTTGTCTTGGATAAAGTGTAAAAAAATAGTTTAATTGCCCTCTTTTGACCCATTTTACTAACAATCTTTATCAGCTTCCTCACTTGATGCTGGTTCATTGATATCTCATTCTCCATAAAAAGGGTCGAAGTGTGGATCTTTA